GCAGTGGGGCCCGCCCCCCTGTTCCCCTCATTGCGAGTTGGGGGACCGCGCCAACCGCGAGCCAAATAGTCAAAAAGTTGTTTTTTCCCCTTTTCTTGTGTGTATATATATAGATCTCAACCTGCTAGTGAACACAAAAAATATCATTTAAAATAACTGTATAAATTTTTTATCTTTTCTTTTATTAATTCTTAAGCCAAAGATGGGAGGAAATGAGTATGGTACCCAAAAAAAAAATTATAGTTAGAAAAATTATATGGAGTAGTGATAACTAGACCGCTCACCACAAGCAGCTCACATACTAGAAAATAGAAAATTAGGGGTCCTCCCTCTTCCACTTGATCATATTTGATAACTCGCTAAAGTCCTCACGCTTTCTTCTTACTAATTTTTTTTTGGTAGTGTGAGAGTAGTTCGAAAAAAGTGGTCTACCTAGCATTATTAAATTACATCACATACAATTTACTATATATACACAAATTATGTAGGAGAAAACAACTTATTGCATAAAAGTCAATGACAGACTTTTTAATTGTAATTAATAATTAATACGATAGTGTATTTGGAAGATCTCATTAAACGTACATTCTGTGAAATTGTTATGTAACGACTTGAGTGCAAAAAAAAAATCATTAGAAAGATGAAAAAATAACATAAAAAGATATAGACTAATGGGTGCCACGACTGCTGATCCAAAGAGTTGTCCTTATTACGTAAATACTCACGTTTTTGGGGAGACGTATGATTTTTGGACCTACCATGACTGCCGACGTCAGATTACACACAAAGATGCAATCGCAGGGCAAGAACAGATGACGGTACAGTTTCAGTTGTCAGAAAAACCCGCGCCTTTTTGACTTCGAGGATTAGATTTTGGCAGCCACGACAACTACAAACGTCCAATGGTGATGTTGAGGGATTGATGAATCCTTGTGGGCAACAAATTAAAGCCAGTTGGGAAAATAATAGCGTCTATTTTCTCCGTAATATCTTGGTGTTAAAAGGAGATTGAGATCCTCTACTCATCAATAGTGACTCCTAATATTTGTTAATACATCTTCACCTTTCATTTTGTGGGACCATCTTTTATTTTGTGTTTATCCACAAAATAAAAGGTGGAGATGCATTAGCAAATGTTAGGAGTCACTATTGATGAGTAGAGGATCTCAATCTGTTAAAAGGGGGGTGTTTGTTTCAATTTTTTTGGGGATAGATGGTGTATTATAAATTCTAGGCTGAAAAAGAGAGTTTTTTTTTTTGAGTTTATGGATTCCATAACATTTGTTTGATTCAAAATTAATTTTGGGATATTGAATACCCAAATAATAAAAAACTAATACATTATAGCATTTGTGAAATCCCCTCTTTGAGAGAGGATTTAGACTAGATTTCAAATTCTAAAATTTGTAATGCTATAATTTGAATTTGACATAAACAAAATACAAATTATAGGATTACATATCCCAAAATATTTATAAAACAAACAATATTTTAGAAATCTCAACCCATGTTAAAAAACATGTGGATTTCAAATCCCATGATGAAATTCATATCCTAAAATTATAAGATTTGAAACAAACACCCCCTAAGATGATGTCAAAAGTTATTAGTTTAAAATGGTAGGAACATGATAATTATACTACAAGTTCCATACTATTGACCTACTTTTTTGTTTGTGGGAGCACCAAAATAGAATAAAATTTATGGTACATTCATCACTAATTATTAAAGTAAGATATATATATTAACTCATTGGGATCTATCACAATGGTTGGATGAGTTTGCTCCGTCATTAATGGTCTCAAGCATGAATATTCTTGATGATTTTTTGTAAAGAGTTTGGATTTGAGAATGATTTCACTTAAAAAGGTTCTTTAGATAGTTGATTTCTCCTAATAATGTAAGAGCTTGAACTCGAGCTCTTTTTAAGATGTTGGAGTCATCTATCCAAGTTACCCTTGTTGCAAATAAAAATGACATATATTCTGATGAGGTTTAACTGATCTCATGTGGTATGAAGATAATGTAAGAAAATTCATTGTCCCATACTGATAATAGCCTGTAAATATTTTTTTAATCAAAGGTATGATACGATTAACATGCTCA